AATGTGCAGTCTCTGGGTCATCAAGAACTATCATAAAGTGCATAATTCATTTTTGGTAATTGAGTTGATTACAAAGAACTAGTTGCCATGCTGAATTTTATTCTTAATTAACTAAAATGACTCATTATATATATGACATTGATTCTCAACCAGGCTACTGCCAAGTTTTGGTAAATGTATACAATATATTCTTGCCATAACAGAGTATATATACTGCTATATGTTATATGGAGCATTGACCCCCATGCAACCCAGTGGAGAATGAGGGCCATGCTTCTATGCATATGAGATGTTTCTGGGCACTTGAGACTTTTGTGTTGTGAGGACACAGGTCAGTAACTATTTTACACAAACACAGTCACTTTCCTAAGGGTGGTAACTATGCATGCTTTGCATGGTAAACCACTGTGATAATTTAGTAGAGATTGTATTGTAATTATTCCTGGCTTGTTGCTGTGCAGCCAAAAATTCTTATAGTTCATAATATGCAGTGATTTCAGAGAGGTAGAGAACCACAGATACAATGGATGGAATTAAGGATAAGTAGGAGTAAAAACAAGACATTTACAAGAAAATTTCCAAGAAATTTACAGATGTGTTAAAGCAGCGGCCATGCTACCCATGACATTTGTAAATATTGGCATGTGGAATCACTCTTCCTAGATGTGAATTTGCTCTGTTAACGTGAGCTTAAGCTCGTGAAATCTGTTTCCTGATGGAAAAAAAGATCCCTTTATGTGAATGACTACTGAACCTAACAGCACTTTATTCTTTGAAAGTCTGGAATGATGTATGTGAGTCAGGAGCTAACCCTGCAATCTGAGGCTTGTTCTAAATGTTGATGTACCCTCAGCTTTCAGTTTAGGAGTTTGGGACCAACCTAGTGAGGAGAGAACAGGGTCGGGACACCTTGCAGCAGGCTTTCCTAGAAGACCAGTGTAAACCAAATGGTACTAAAACCCTTAAGAGCGCTCCGCTAGATGAGGGGAATTATAACAACTGGTAAAGCTTTGGAACCATTGCAGTTAGGAGGAAAGAGAATGTGCTTCAGAACCATATAAGCCTTGGGTTAAAATCCTAACTCTGCTACTTACTTCCTGTGAAAAAAATTGAACTAAGAGGATAACCGCTTCTCTGAACGTCATTTCCTCATTGGTCAAATGAAACTAACTATAACTGCCCAATTAAGATTTCACATGACAGCATATGTAAAGCCATAACATGGCAGGTCAGCAAACACTTGTTGCATTAGCAAATAAAGGAGAGAATGAAACCCCGTCAAGAATGAGAATCATCCCTCTGGGGGAATACAGAGTAGACCTAAGAACTTAAGACTTGAACAGTGAAATCTCACAGGAAGTAGAAGAGTGAAGAGCTTCCTTTTGAGGTCAGACTGGTTGGGTTTGAATTCTGCCTTTTACTAGTTGTGTAAGGTTGGGCATGTTGCTTGACTTTTTAATCTCGGTCTCCTCATTTTAAATGGGTGTACTAATAGTGTCTATTCTGTGGGATTTGTGATGGAGATTAAATTGAGATAGTGAATGCAACATAATAAGCACTCAATAATATTAGCCGTACGCATGTGCTTCCTCACAGTAAGACCAGAAGAGAATGGTTCAGTACTACTTTGTCGCCAGAGAGCATGATTTGGGATAGTATTAGAATATCTAACCCTAAACTTTCTTTGGGTTGTACTTGGGTACATTATACAGATGGCTTTTATGAGTTCCATTTTATCATTGTTTTTATGTGTATAGTATCCATTCTTTGAAATTTACATTAGTAAACTAATTTATGCAAATTAAAGATCTGAAACAGGAGTGTAAGTTGATTCTATGGTGAATCATCATCTTTTATTTGTCGTATGGATAGAAGGGTAGAAATACTAATTGCTGGGGCAAGCACATGTTTAAAATAGGCTCCACAGTGATTCACTTAACACCCCACATGATGTAAAATGTCACCAGCAAGGGATAACTGGTCAACCCAATGTAAAATGGGTCTTCAATTTCATGGTTTGTCTTATTAAAATTTTAGTGATATTGGGGCTGGCCTGGTGGCGTAGTGGTTAAGTGTGCACGCTCCGCTTTGGCGGCCCAGGATTCGCAGGATTGGATCCCGGGCGCGCACCGATGCACCACTTGTCAAGCCATGCTGTGGCGGCGTCCCATATAAGGCAGAGGAAGATGGGCATGGATGTTAGCCCAGGGCCAATCTTCCTCAGCAAAAAGAGGAGGATTGGCATTGGATGTTAGCTCAGGGCTAATCTTCCTCACACACACACACACACAAATTAGTGATATTAACAGGGATAAAGGTTGGAAAAGGGAAGTTAAATTCAAGGTGTCAAAAAACTATGACAGTTTGTAGAATAAAGCAATAGCAGAATGGGTCGTGACGATGGCAGTTTTAATTTTTATTTCCCCTTTTAAGCAGTGCCAAGTGCTAGTAGAAGCTAAAATGAGTGACACTTAGGGAAAGGAAAAACTTCCCCCTTGAATGTCTTTAAGATCTATAATAATAATATAATAATATAAAGTGCATCTGGGCATTGCCTTCTGCTGCAGTTCTTGTCTGGCTCTCATCCAGAACTGTCAGGCTACTCTGAGTGCTGATGATTCATATCCCAGCACCCTTTTATCTGAATGTTGCAGTGTCTTTTCTTTGTACTTTGGCAGTGATGTTACCTTGATGTTCAAAAATCTTTTAAAAGCAACACAGTCTTTCCTTGCATCTTGACAAATCGTTGTCTGCCAGTAATGAGGAAAAAGTAAACCTAGTTCCATGATCATTGTAAATATAAAGAAATAAGTACTTCCAAGAGTTTTTTGTTTTTGAAAATGGTTATGTATTTTGAGATCCTCTAACTGAAAAGTGATCTGATCATCTTTCCTTATTTCTCTTATATGTCAGCCTGCTGCTTTTCAAAAGCATGGATCAAGTGGAGTTTTTGTCGATCATTTGATACTTGAGGACAGACTTTAGGATTGTCATATAATTTTCTTTCTTTGGAGATTTTTAAAAAGGAAACAGGGATTATTTTTACTTCTGTTGTATGCTCTTACTGCTGTTGTTTAGAAGTTAATATTTTGTTATTTACCCATTTTAATATGCTTTAATATATCCTGATAATAGTAACAGTGCTTCACATTCACATGGTACTTTTCATACATTTCCTCATCTGAGGCTTGAAGCTGCCATGTGAGGTTAGCAAGGCAAATTCTCATTGTTATTTCAACTTATAAATGAGGAAACTGAGGCTCAGGATGGTTTATGACTCTCCCACTCAACCTGCAGCAGATCCAGTCCTTAAATCCAAAGTGAGCAGTGCTTCGACTTTTGCCATGTTGTATTTCAGAAAGGAATCTCGGCTTTGTCAATGAATATTTAGTGTGAAGAGTGAAGACGGTGGGATTTCTATTGGGCTGAATATTGGTCACACCAATGCGTTGAAGGTCTTTGTTATGTTTGGATGCTGCATTTTAAGGAGAACACTGGGAAACTGGAGGAACTGAGGAGGGTCAGGAAACTAGCATGATGAGGAGCCTGGGAACTATACCAGAAATAACCAAAGAAATCAGAATTTTCAGCCCTGGAGAAAAGAGGATACAGAGAGACATAGCTAACATCTCCAAATGTTTTATGGACTAGCTGGTGGAAGAGGAATTAGAATTCTTCTTTGTAATTTCAGGCAGCAGAAGTAGGATCACAGGATAGAAATTACACAGAAGCAGATTTATGCTTGATACAAGAAGAAACTTTCTAACATTTAGAGATGTCCAAAAATGGAATAGACTAGCTCACCATCACTGGGAAGTGTTCACACTGAGACTGTCTGACTTGAAGATTATATGACTTTATGGATGTTGTATTTCAGCAGTAACCCAGTTTTATGATGAACCTTCTAAGGGCTCAGAGAAGAATTTCCTCACTAGCTAAAAACAGAGAGGTTTTGTAGGCTTTTCCACTCTGATTTTAGGAAGTTGTGTACGTAACAACTGCTGTTTCACACATCTCTGGGTCCTGAGAAATACTGTTCAATTGATGGGGAGAGGCATATTAGTTAAAACAAAGAAGCAAAACTTTTATAAGATAGGAACTGAAGGAGACAATGTGACGTGTGCAGTGGGGTGTGTGTGTACCTGCATGTGTGTGCATACAGTTTAACTATTTCAGGATGAAGTGGCCATGGTTTTTGCTAGTTTCATCTAACCTGTTACTTTCACTATTCATCAGTCCAGCCTAGAACACAACCTATAAAATTAAGAGATGGGGGAAAAGTCATGCGTTTTAGATGGTTTCAATTTTCTTAATATGGAAAGGGATAGGGAATCAAAACAGAGATTGGCTAAAATGAGTTTGTGACATAAACAGATTTATTAAGGGAAATACCTAACTAGGATCTGAAGTCTCCGTTCTAGGTCTAGTTCGATCACTCACTGCTTCATCATTATGCCTTAGGTTTTTATTTTCCTCTAAAGTGGATGTGTTGTTCTGGGAATTTTCTTTCCAACTTTTAAATTGTATGATTCTAATTCTCTCAATTTTATGACTCTAATTCTCCACATAGGAGAAATTTGCATAGGAAATTAAGAATGGTCTCAATTATAACAATAAATTCAATTATTTATTCTTTAAATTTCTTATTCATTTATTCAAAAACATTTATTAAATGAAATACTATTTTAGAAATATGAAAACTTTGCTTCAATATATGTGATTTTAAGAAAGGAAAAGAGCAAATCAGTATCTTTAATACTTAAAATGAATGTGAAGGGTTCCATTTGTAGGGTATTTTGAAATAAATATAATAGAAGTTCTCTGTAAAATGGCTTGTTGTTGCTTAAATTTGAAACAGCAACATTTCAAACCATGCCCCAAATCATAATAGCATGCAATAAAAATTTAACCCAACATTATTGAAGGTTCAACCACTGATTCTAAACAGTAAAAGCTTTTCCTCTCCAAATAATCTCATCTTGCTCTTCTTCTTCCGACAGATTCCAGAGGGGTGACTACCACATTGACGTCTGTATCAATGACTACCTGGATGTGTTCTGCCCTCACTATGAGGACTCGGTCCCAGAAGATAAGACTGAGCGTTATGTCCTCTACATGGTGAACTTTGATGGCTACAGTGCCTGCGACCATACTTCCAAAGGATTCAAGAGATGGGAATGTAACCGGCCTCACTCTCCAAATGGACCACTGAAGTTCTCTGAAAAATTCCAGCTCTTCACGCCCTTTTCTCTAGGATTTGAATTCAGGCCAGGCCGGGAATATTTCTACATCTGTGAGTATATAGAGATTTATCGTGTTGTGGGGCAGCTGCAAGAACCCAGACTAATTTTTTATCCATGTTTCAGAGAATTGCAGAGAGCTGGACTCTGCATTACAGATGTCTCCTTGTAAATGCATATATCAGGATCCCTAGATACATTAGCTGGGAATTGAGAGCACAAATTAGATTAAAGACACAGTGCCTCTCCCCCTATGAAATTGCGTGTCAGCCTGTTCAGTGAACCACTGCTGACTTGTATTTCTTTTAAATGAAAATTGCCAGGACTTCTCCGAAGCTCAGGAAAAGAAAAAGAGATTCCTGAAAAAAAAATTAAAGGAAATAATTAAATTTACATAGCTTGAAGTCATTGGATTTCTTATTCAGGTGTCAGCAATATCCTTTCAGTGGTCCACATTTTCAGTGGGGAAAGCCAAAACGCCTGCAGATGTCAGCATGCTGATGATAAATACTCTTTTGCACCAAGGAGAAAAGACAATTATTAAGAGCAGCTGTGTCTTTAAACAGGAAAGAGCGTGAAGTATCTAGAAAGGGTTCCAAGGGAACTGGTATGAGTGAGTTTCCCGCCTGTGAGCATTAAGCGCCTCTGTCCTGAGAGAGCTCTAAAACTTGCTCAGCAGACCTCTGTGTTAATCATTGCCGCGGCCTTGTTTTTTCTCCATTATGTACCCATCACTTCTTCAGGCGTCATACTAGCCATATAGTCTAGGTGAATGCATCTATGACTTTGTGCATAAGTCACCTGGGGATCTTGTTATAATGCAGATTCTGATCCAGGGGGTCTGAGGTGGGGTCCAAGATTCGGTATTTATAAAGCCCCCAGGTGATGCTGCTGGTCTACGGACCACACTTGGAGTTAGCAAGGTTATAGGTAATATCTAGGTTATAGGTAATATCTAATTTAGGCAGGTTGCTGTGTATCTGGGCTTTTCTTTAACTAGTATCAAATATTTAAACTATCTGGCCTTTCCTGCACATTTTCACTGTCAGCTGAAAGAGTTAAAAGTTTACTTGTTCAAAAGTACATTTATCAGGGCCGGCCCTGTGGCTTGGTGGTTAAGCGTGCGCGCTGCGATGCTGGTGGCCCGGGTTCGGATCCCGGGTGCGCATCGAGGCACCACTTCTCTGTTCATCCTGAGGCCGAGTCCCGCATACAGCAACTAGAAGGATGTGCAGCTACGACATACAACTATCCACTGGGGCTTTGGGGGGAAAAAATAAAATAAACAAAAGTACATTTATCGAACAGCTTACCATGACTCAGAAATATTGGAGGATGCAGGATGAAAAGATACTCCCTGTCCTCGAGGAGGGACAATCTAGTGGGGAGCAAACATGTAAATAGGCAATTAAAGGGTAAATAGACAATTGCTTAATGAAGATAAATGCAGGGAGCAGTGGGAACATGGAGGGGTTGTACCTCACCTGCTTGGAAGAATCAGGAAGTACAGCTGCACACAGTGTGTACGGATCAAGCACTACCACCCAGTATGCTTAGCATCCCTTTTTCACCCCTGCTTGCCAGACAAACAAGATAAAGAACATTCCTGTTTTTCTGACTCATTTCTTCAGTCCCCACCCACTCCTAACCCACATGTTTTAAGTCTACAAGGATTTCTAGCTCCTCTTCTCCAGAAAACAGAATTTTATAATAAGCCGGGTTTCACCATTGCAAGGGCACTCTCACTTATATTGGAATTGAATTTAAAAAGGAAATTGAACAGTACCAGTTTTATTATTTCAGTGCGTATTTCAGTCATTAGTCATGAGAAAACATGTAAAAGCCTTGATACTATCTCACATTCGATCCATAAAATAAGAAAAGGAATATTGAGTCCCACAGACAGAGAAAACACTGGCATACAGTGAATTCACACGTTCTCAGGCAGCAGGCTCTTGCCTTTTGCTGATTTTTTCCTTTGTGAAAGAATCTCATTCAGCAAATGAGAAAAAGGAAAGAGGAGGACTTCAATTGTGGGACAGCAACTCATTAATTGCCTAACTCTAAAATATCATACCAATGTAAGAAGAAATTATTGCCAGTTTCCAAATGTTTATATTGGTTTCTCAGAGTAAAAAACAACAACAAAAGCAAAACCCCAAAATGAACAGAAAGTACTAAGAGGGGAAGCATACTCACCCACTAACTAGTTGATTGCATGATTATTAGAAATTATAGAATCCATTAGAGTTCATAAGCAAGATGTTATTATTCAAATATACCCATAGTGCTTATGACTGGTTTTTCTTCACTTGTGGTTAAATTCAATATTTCACTAAAAATCATTATGTGTCTTCTATAACATTCATTTAACGGAGTCATTTAACTGTCAAGGGCTCCTGTCAAAGTAATTGTTCCCAAATGCTTCAAAATATCAAGAGCTTTTTGCTGTTCAGCTGAGTTGAACCTGAATTACTTTTTTAAATGAAAGGTAAAATAGCACAAAATTAGCAGCAAAGAGATGCTCATTTACAAGAAGCACAGTGGCCTGGCAGTCAGTTAAACTGAATTTTCAACCATGTTTTAGAAGCACAAGAGCTTCCTTCCCTGTCTTTTTAGTAGTGAAAGTGTTTCCTCCCTTTCTTTCACTGCTGAGAGTAGGAACGGCAGAGCTAACGTGAATGTCTTACAGACGTTTAATATACTGTGGTCATAATTAAACTAAAGGATTCTTGTGGGAGAATTGGCCCTCAGTTGAATTTTCCTCTCTCCTAATCTGTGTGGAACGAACAAGATGATTGGGAAATGGCTCTTTTCACGCTTAATACGTTATGAGAAGCTCTGTTACTGATCTCACAAACAAGCCTGACGGCCCACCAGTCAATTTTATAAAATATTCTTATGAGGCCAGGGGTATTTTTCATCTCCTCAAGGCCTTAAACTCTCTTCTAAGTTTTCAAAAGAAAAAAGAAAGCTATAGCCTTTTGGCAGTCCTGCTTTTGGGCACTAGAGGAAGAGTTAAGTTTAGTGGTGACTGTAGAGAACAAAAATTCAGATACAAACTTGGATTTGGGAGAAAGGAAGAGAAGTATTTCAAAACAGGATATCCACATCGTCACGTAGACTCAGAGGACACAAATCAGAGAGTTCTTAACAAGTTCTGCTTTATCCTCAACAAGATTTATTTCCTTCTTAAGTTCTTTGAGTGATACAAAATTAAGAAAATACATAGTTGGAAATATCTCATATGAAGTTTCTAATTTACTTTAAAAAGAAAATATCCTTTACAGTTCTAGATGCTTTATTTGTCCCAAGAATGACTCTATGCCATGTCCTCCTTTCTTTGGGAACAGGCAGTATGTTAAGTTGTTATAATCCCTGATTATTGTTAAGGCAGACTGAGCCCATTGTTGAATCTGACAAATACTGTCTTCAATCTACAGGAGCTATTTTGGTAAGCGATTGGCATACTAAAGTAATTACAGAAAGTTGGTGGTATTTCTATTAGTGATAGATTTGCAGAACTGCCTGTCAGTAGATCATGGCCATGGTCATTTATATAGACTTCCTAAGGCAGAGTGTTATTTTAGAAACTTAAAAATACTCGTTTTAGAGATGATTCTCATACATATTAACCTAATGAGAACGTGTTTGGAAAAAGTTTTACTGTTGTTATTTTTAAATCATAAGAGGCAAAAAGAAATAAATAAGGCCACTATAAGTTATTTTTATAAGTCAGTAGAAACACTGATTTTGAATGTCCTCTTTTGTAAAGTAAAGAAAACTGAGTCTTTGTCTCTTCTCTTGACCTAACTAGCTATATGATCTTGGGTAAAGCATTGAATCTCTCTGGATTTCTAATTCCACATCTATAAAAATAACTTGGTTGCAATAGATGATTTCAAACATTTCTTGGAGCTGTAATAACCTAATCTTAGTATATTTTATCTGAGGGTCTGCGCCACTAAAGTAAGAGAGAACATCTGTAAAATGGCCCAGCCCAATGCCTTACTTAGTAGGAGTTCAATAAATGCCAGTTAGAGGGATATCTTTAGGGAAAATGCAGAGCAGAGAGGCGTATTAGAATTATTGAACTAGTTGCATTGCTCTCACCCTGTCCAACCCACCATCATCTCTGGTCTCGACTAGTGCAACAGGCTCCTGTTTTCCCCACTCATGCCATAACTCTGTCAAAGCCCTCCAGTGACTTCCTGTCTCACCAAGACAAAAATTCAAAGTCTAAGCTGGCCAACAAAGTCCTCCATGGCAGGTGCTCCTCTCTTTCCTGCCCTGGGACTCTTGGACTTCTTCTCCTACCACTGTCTGTCTCATTGTCTCTGCTCCAGCCACCCTGCCCTCCTTCGTGGTCCTCATACCTGTCCAGTGCCCCACCCCCCATCAGGGCTTTGGTACTTGTTCTTCTCTCTGGCTGGGTTCTCATTGCCCTGGGCATCCACCTCCCTTGCTCTCGCTTTCTTTAAGTCTGCCCTAAAAAATGTCTTTATCAGAGAGGCTATTCTGACCTCCCTTATATAAAGATAACATCTCTGTCATTCTCTGCACTCTTACTCTGCTTTATTTTTACTCAAGCACTTGTAGCCCCTGACATTATGTATTTATGGTTGCTTGTTCACGGCTATTTCTGCCCTATGCCCTGTGTTATGTGGTTTGGCACACAGATGTTCAATAAATAAGGGTCACTAGTGTTTACGTAGCATATACTCTGCTCCAGGCACTGTTCTAAGCTCCCTACAATTCTCAAAACACCACTATGAGGTACTGTTCTTATTTCCCATTTTACAGGTGAAGAAACTGAGGCACAGAAAAATTAGGCAACTTGAAAAAGGTTGAAACAGATAAGAAGTGGCTGATCTGAGAGAAAATGAAGTACTCATTTAAGCAACTAAAAGAAAGTGAAGAGATAAAGTCTGTCTTAGGTCTCATATGCTAATGAAGGAAAAACACACTTTATTTTGTATTAAAAAAAGATTAGAAAAAATTAGCACTACTGTTTAGAGAATATTACTTTAACTCTACTAGAAACCTCAAATCA